ATATAAAAACTTATAAACTGAAAATTTGAAGATTTCAGAGCAAAACATTTTTCATTTTTCAACAGTTTTCATTTAGTTTAGCTTGATGTTAACAATAATCAAATAAAAGACGAATAAAATAGAAAATAAAAAGACACAAAAGAATAAATAAAATTACAACAACAAATTTATGAAAATGTAAACAAAAATTTCACAGGAATGCATTTTGTTTTTATTTAATTTAGTTTCTTGTCAATACTCTCTAATGTCCTTTTCATTAAAAGGTAAAAACCCTGAGAAAAAAAATACAGTTCAAGTCAATATTATTATCCCCCCTGAATTATTTTTTTCCCCAATTTCTGTTTAGCAGAAAGCAGATTTTATTCAACACATTTCTAAACATAATAGTTTTAATAACTAATTTATAATAAACTGATTTATTTTATCTTTGCTATGATTACAGTACATAATATTTTACTAGATATTTTTCAAGACTTCTATACAGCTTAAAGTGACATTTAAAGGCTTAAGGGTAATTAGGTAACTTGGCAGGTTAGGGTAATTAGGCAAGTTATTGCATAATGATGGTTTGTTCTGTAGAAAAAAGTGGCTAATAATTTTACCTTAAAAAATGTAAAACTGCTTTTATTCTAGCCCAAATAAAGCAAATAAGAGTTTCTCCAGAAAAAAAAAATATTATCAGACATACTGTGAAAATGTCCTTGCTCTGTTAAACATAATTGTGGAAATAATAATAAATTTATGAATAAAAAAAAAAAAAAAACATTGATCCATTTCTGACCTGACCACTCTCAGGATTAAGTATGCAATGAATATGTATTGCAATGTTGATATATTTGGTCTTGGCGGTATAGACCTGCTACGCTGCTGCTGCTGCTTTGATTATAAAAAAAAAAAAAAAAAAACTTTCAGTCTAGAGCAGTAAGTGATTTTGTCTTTTTCTTTTGTTGTTTGATTAATGATGATAAAAACAGTTGGCAGCAAAAATAGTCCGCTGTTACTTTAAGAGGTCTGTTTATGATTTTACTTCCTCATGCCTTGTCATTCTCAACTCTTTGTGTTTGCTTATTAAAAAACAATCAAGATTTTATATGAATAATCACTGGCACCTTGATTTGTCACTTTTTTTGCATGTATTTTACCTTTTAGGCCAGGCTTAGGCTAAAAGATGACTTTACATGTGTGTGATCTGCTTGTGTCTGAAGCTGACAAGATCTCATATTTTTAAAAGCATAACTGAGACTAATACACTTCATTAAATGATGCAAAATTAATGTAGGCTGCTTGAAGGGGCTAGACATAATAATGATTTTATCTCTATATATTATTTAATGCTAATATTTATTTAATGTTTTTTTTTTTTCATAATAGTTGGATATTAGTTGGAAATAGTTGGAAATTGAATTTCGATGTTTGCACAGCTTTATCAATCTCAGAACCAAATCCTTGCTTATGGCTTGACTGAAATAGAAATGGACAAAGAGACCTATAATATGTCTCTGGAGAATTTAACCTCATGTTTTTAAGACCACCTGGATGCTTGCAGACTTTCTTTTCGGTTTCTTTTGTCCAGTCAGATGCGGTTTAAATGAGAGTGTGTTAAAAACGCATCTGCTGTACTTTTGAATAGCAGCGGTGAGTAGCAAATGTTGTTTACTGCTGTAACTTTAACTACCAGCTGTTGATTACTTAAAAACAAGGATGGCGGGGTTTATGTCAACAATAAATGACAATAAAAAAAAGTTTATTTAGTTTTGAGTTGGTACAATTTTTGTAAGTGTTTTTAAACAAGTAACCTACTTTCTGTTTCCTGCCATTTGTTTCATTGAAAATAATGAGAAAGCAATTAGAAAATGTTGAAAGGTGCATTCAATGTTCAAAAAACGTCTTAATATTATTATATAAAGGAGATTTTAGTTTTAAATGAGTAGTTATTTTATTATGTAGTTATTCTAGTTGTGTTATTTTTTGGTATTTTCTCTTAGGAAATTACTGAAGGCATATATCATGTTATCATAATGATTTAATGTGGCAATAAGCTTGTAACTGTACTGTGTATTTACACCCTGGCCATATTCATCTATGTAAACACACATGAAAACAACATTAACATTATAGCAGACATTGTAAAAAGGTCAGTCCCGGTCACCGGAGTTTCAGGGTATTCGAGTGTTATCAAGTGACAGAATGTTGTGGGACTGCCAGAAGTTACTATTAGGGATTATAGATAGCAAAATTTAGAGTTTTTTTTTCTTTTTTCTTTTAATGGCGGTAAAACACGAGTACCTTTATGAATGTATTAAAACATATGCTTGTTTGTTGTAAAAATTCCTAATAATGACAAAAAAATTTACTAATTTGTGCATCTCCTGACTTCCGTGTGCAGCCATGCTGCTGCTGTAGATGGTGTATTCTGGAAAAATGTTTTTACCCCAAGGTTTCAAGTTTCTTGGTTTGCCCTTATGTCGAGTTCAGACTGCATGATTTTCAAAGTAGTCGTGTCACAGATGTTTTCACACTGCATGACTATCTGGGCTAGCATTTTGTCGCTGCTTTGTCGACACTGCAAGATGGATCGGCGACAGGGGCTTTCACATTGCATGACTTTACAATAGGAAGAATAGACACAACTTCGTCCAAAATACATCTCACAGCTAAAAACATGCAGTATATCTTTTGTTATTAACTACATAACGAGAAAGAAGCCTTTAATGGGGTAGAAAATGTACATATTTGCTCACCTGGGTTTGAAGGGAATTAGTAATTACTCCTTAACTTTCTTTTTTAACTTTCAGTATAAAACGTCAAACAGACACAGATGCTCCTGTTAAAAACTCCTTTCAAGAGTTCCCACTTAGATATGCTTGGCATTTATAGCAGATTTGGCATGCTGTCCCGGGAGAGAACCCTGAGCTTAGAGATATTTGAGCCCAGGGCTCCCACCCGGTCTAAAAGCATATCAGGAGAACCGAGATCAGGTAGGTCTCGATCGCTCCCCCTTTAGAAGGGGAGAAAAAGGAGGAGATGGGGTGGAAGGGGGGATTCTTCCAAAAAGAAGATAAGCAATAAGCAGAAAGTGATCCATTTATATTAAGCTAGGATCATTCTGATTGAATTATTACTGATTACGGATGAGTGGCCAGCGGTGCACAATCATATCACATGCTCCTCTCGAAATTAGTTTATGAAACTACACTTAGTTTTTCCTCCATTTCTTGGGTCCAAATAAAGCAAAAATGAGCGCTGAAGATGATGTACTGGTGTTTTTTAAAAGGGTCAACCAAAAATCTTCCAGTTAAAGAACAACTGAATAAACCTTGGGAGAATGAATATACAGTGCAAATAATGGATGGATTGTAATTTGTAACACAAGCTATAAATGAATGAAGCTCACTGAAGCTAAGCAGGGCTTCGCCTGGTCCGTACCTGGGTGGGAGATCATATGAGAAAGCTATAGGTTGCTGCCGGAAGTGGTGTTAGTGCGGCCAGCAGGGGGCGATCCTAACCCCCAAGTGTAGTGAAGGGGACTCTATACTGCTCAGTGAGCCACGTCTTTCGGATGAGACGTTAAACTGAGGTCCCGACTCTCTGTGGTCATGAAAAATCCCAGGATGTCCTTCGAAAAAAAGTAGGGGTTTAACCCTGGCATCCTGGCCAAATTTGTCACTGCCCTTTGTCCATCATGGCCTCCTAACCATCTCTATATCATAATTGGCTTCATCACTCTGTTTCCTCTCCATCAATCAGCTGGTGTGTGGTGTGCGTTCTGGCGCAATATGACTGCCGTTTTGTCTTCCAGGTGGATTCTACACAATTGTGGTTGATGAGGAGATTCCCCCCAATGTGTAAAGCGCTTTGAGTGTTTAGAAAAGTGTCATATAAATGTTATGTAATATTATTATTATTATTATTATTATTATTATTATTATTATTATTATTATTATTATTATGAGGCAGTAGTGCTGTAGGTAGTGCTGTCTCCTCACAGCAAGAAGGTCGCTGGGTCGCTGGTTCGAACCTCGGCTCAGTTGGCGTTTCTCTGTGGAGTTTGCATGTTCTCCCTCCCTTCGCTTGGGTTTCCTCCGGGTGCTCTGGTTTCCCCCACAGTCCAAAGACATGCTGTACAGGTGAATTGGGTAGGCTAAAATGTCCGTAATGACATTGAATGAGTGTGTATAAGTGTGAATGAGTGTGTATGTGCGTATTTCCTAGTAATGGGTTGCGGCTGGAAGGGCATCCGCTGCATAAAAACTTACTGGATTAGTTGGTGGTTCATTCCGCTGTGGCGATCCCGGATTAATAAAGGGACTAAGCCGACAAGGAATGTATTATTATTATTTTAACTAGTATTATTACAAGTGGCAGTGAAAACTTCGTTGCTGTCATACATTGTCAGTTTAATGGTGAAGGGATTGATACAATAGGCCTATTAATGGAAGGTTTGTGAAGAAATGTTATGCTCCATTTTTTTCTATGTTGCCAGTTTTTTAGTATTTGTAAATTACACAAATACAGTTTTTTATTTTGATACATTTATTGCTGCTGTATTTTGTAGTTTATATCGATGCACTTAAAATGTATGTATTTGGTATTTTATTTTAAAATACATTTGGTAACACTTTCATTTGCTGGTCAATTTTTAGTATTAGTAAACTGTCTGCTTAATATCTGTTAAAACTGCTCTTTTAACAGACATTTAACCGACTATAAGAAATTTTGCATGTCAAGTACATGTCAACTTACCCTAACCCTAACCTAACAGTGTACTTGTAATCTAATGGTAATTAGTAGGCATGTAAATGCAATTTAACTTAAATTTAACAAACAGACCATCAAAATAAAGTGTGACCATACATTTCAATGTATTTTTGTCCATCCCAGCTTTACACCATACAGCAATAATTGAGTTCACATTGAGTTTAATATAAAATATACCACAAAGGTCAAATAAAGGTGATGTTTCTCGCCCTTGACTTGGTTTTCCATTTCTCCTTCTCCAGGCCCCCCATGGGTTCCTTCAGTGTTGCCGGCGGCCACTCAGCCAAGTCTGTTGGCACATTCATACGGGATGCCGCCCGCTTACAGCCAAGGGGTGTCCGTCCAGTCTCCTGTCATCGGCGTGACCCCGGCCATCCAGACGCCCATCCCACCACACCATCCGCTCATGACGGCTCACTTCCAGCTTCCTCCGCTCTCTTCCCAACCTCCCGGCAGCCTAGTTCTCAGTCTCCAAAACCAGTCGCCCTACGCCACCAGCCAGCCGCAAATCACCCCATCACCCCTGACGACAGCCGGCCAGGTGATCCACCCCACTCCCCAGAGCGTGGTCGTGGGAAATGGTCACATGACTCACCCTCTCATTCATCCGCCCACTTTGCCTTCCGCCGCGCTGCCATTGTCAAATGGACAAGCGACGACTCTGCCAACTTCTGCCAACCAGGACAGTCCCAATGGCCTTCAAATGCTTCGTACCGTTGGAATGGGGAAGTACGAGTTCACAGACCCGAGCCATCCTAAAGGTAAGCGCAACTAATGAACGCGCCCGAGGATGTTTCGCAAATATCCTTCTTTTTTTTCCAGGGAATTGCTTTTGATGCCGGCCAGGAAAATTGACCACAAACATGTCAGGGAGACGTTGTTGTTAAAACCTCAGCCTGAGGTATAAAAGCATTTCCAAGGTCGAGGATTCAGTCCTGAAACCTACTGTCACACAAACAGGCCTGTTCCTTCTCTAACTTTTTTTTTTTTTACTCCGTGTCTCCTGCTGTGCATTCTTGCCTGTTTTTCAAGGCTGTAAATCGTTGTTTGTACAAGATAACCTTGGACGAGGCTTCTGTCAGTCCAGAAACAGATGTTGCGTATTCCCTGAGCAATTTTCACATTTAATGAAGCTTTTAATCTAGGTTTAGATTGGCTTTCTAAGCTCATTTGATTTTTTTTTATGGGCTCTATAAAATGAGCGCAATTTGGTTTCCACATCGATGCAACTTGCAATTGTCTCTTAAGATGCGAAAGAGCCAATTACATTAGACTTTGCATGAGTTTTTTTTGTTTTTTTTCGAGATGTAAGCGCTCAGAGCTCAGTTAAAGCAGTGGCATTGAAGCAGGTTCAGCTCTCCTGTTGTGAGAACTATAGCAGGCTAATGTGCCATGTGAAAGGCAGTGCTTACATAATTTACAGAGAAATAAACCAATTGGATTGCGGTACTAATTCTTCTTAATCAGTCTTCGACAAACATTTCTCACTCTGTGTTCTTTCTTGCTGGAAAACCCAACCTATTTTGAAGGGGTTTGAGATTTTTGAGCTGTGGATTTATTAGCATGTACGGGGAATTACTGTATGTATTTGAGTCTTCTGAAATGGCATATACCAGAGCTGTCCAAACTCGGTCCTAAAGGGCCAGTGTCCTGCAGATTTTAGCTTAAACTTGCCACAGCACACCTGCATGGATGTTTCTAAAAAGCATAGTAAGTGTTTGATTGGCTAGCCTAGGTGTCTGATTGGGGCTGGAACTAAACTTTTCCAGGATGCCGGCTCTCCAGGACTGAGTTTGGACACCCCTGACATATACCATACGTGTTAGATACAAGCATGTTGCTAGAGTTACCACATTGTTGTTATCTATGTATTGAATATGGATATGAGCAGTACTGTTCAGTTTGGAGTCAGTTTATTTTAATGTTAATTAAAAAAGCTCTTTTGCTGATCAGGGGTGCATTTCCAAAAACCATCGTTAGCCAACTAATGGTTCAAGTTCCGTCATTACTAACATAGTTTGTTGATTTGGCCTTTCCCATATCCGTCGTTCCAAAGAACATTCGCAAGCTGCATCGCAAACTTTTACGCTTGCAACTACAGCTCTAAAGCTGTAGTTAGAAACATAGTCCCTGACTGTGTTTTAGTTATCCCCCTATATTGTTGTATTGTTGCCTAAATGTTGTGAAAATGTACCTGTCTAACTCAATGTAAGACTAATTTTGTGCTTCAGGGTCCACATGTACATTTTGATTTGTAGTAGAATTTCTACAGAATATATATATATATAATATATATTATATATATATATATATATATATATATATATATATATATATATATATATATATATATATATATATATATATATATA